TTTTGATTATCTTAGTTTTTTTGCCGTTTTGCAGCAGAAATTTTTGTTCAGTCAACAGTCTGTGTAAGCCAATTGCCATATAATATGAACCTATAAACCTAAACACTTTCAAATTGTATGCAATCAGTTAGGCACTTGCACTACATAGTTGATGGTAAATCTAAAGGAAATTGAACAAGAAAATTGTATAATGTGCAGCCAGCTTTACTGTATCTTACCATCCACCCAGGATGGTTGTTGAACTACAGCGATTGTACTGGAAACTGAAAAATTATGTACTGATTTAACCAGTTCCCAGATATAGCCAAAAGACGGCTACAGCACGGTTGTCTACTTCTGGGACAACGTCCATGGACGTCATTCCAGAACAGGCCCCAATGCCACCGGTGATCTCTGTGATACCATAAAAGGCCAATTACGGCGGCCTTTTACCACGTGATCAGCTGTGTCCAATGACACAGCAGATCACCAGGTAAATACAGTTGCTGGTTATCGGCTGCACTTTCCTCACGCTATCATACCTGTGTCCGTCAGTGCTGCCCACTTGTACCCATTAGTGCCACCCACCTGTGCCCAGCAGTGCCACCCACTGTGCCTATCAGTGCCACCCATCGGTGCTGCCGATCAGTGCCACCCATCAGTGCCCATCAGTGCCGCCAATCATTGCCGCCTATCAGTGCCAGCTCATCAATGCCGCCTATCAGTGCCTATCAGTGCTGCCTATCTGTGCCACCTCATCAGTGTCCATCAGTGCTGCCTGTTAGTGCTCATCAGTGATGCCTATCAGTTCAGCCTCATCAATGCACATCAGTGATGGAGAAAAATTACCTGTTTGCAAAATTTTATAATAGAAACAAAGAAAACCTTTTTTAAAAACATTTTTGTTTATAGCGCAAAAAATAAAACACCAAGTGGCGATTAAATACCACCAAAAGAAAGCTCTATTTGTGTGAAAAAAATTATAACAATTTCATATGGGTACAATGTTGCATGACCGCGCAACTGTCATTCAAAGTGCGACAGCGCTGAAATCTGAAAATTGGCCTGGGCAGGAAGGGATTAGAAGTTACAGCGCTGACCTGTGTTTCAGAACTTATATACATATCTGGGGTTCCTGCAGCTGGGATAATAGGAGAAAATTATTAAGTGAAACTATTTGTAATAGTATTAATTATATTAAATACTTAAAGTAGAATTTCACTCCCAAAAGTGAGTTAGTTCTGCTTTAACACTTTTCCCCTCACCAAGCATGAATGTAGGATTTTTTTTTGTTCGTTTTTTTTCTATCTTTTTTTTCCTATTTGTTCATTTTTAACCCCCCCCCCCCCCCAGCCAGAGTGATGTCTATCTGGTCCATCAGCCTTCTGGGATACTTCCCTCCCAGAAACCTGCAGGATCTGCACACACAGCAGTCCAGATAACAGGCTGGGGTGAGTCCAGTGCATCATCAGAGCTGGCTGCCTACACTCAGAAGCAGCCAGTTGAAGATGGCAGTGAAGGACCTTATGGGTGGCATCCAAACAGCAGATCACAGTGGGACAACGCTGGATTCGCTGTGCAGGTGAGTATGTGCTTTGAAGAGCACTGCAGCACTACAGGTAAGTGGAAAAAAAACATGTGGGGGAAAGGGGGAGGGGGGGAGTTGAGTACCACTTTAGGAATGAAACAAAACAATTTTTTGGCATTCTGTCCATTGCTCTACATATTTAAAAAAATCAAAGGCATTAAAAGGTTGAGTAAACTGATGCATACCAAAACGGCAAACTTTGGTTTGGTCATAAAGGTTTTGATCACGTCAGGACTGGAAAGGGTTGAAATACCTTCCTACTCCTAAGGTGACTACATCAGTTTTCTTTTTTGCAGTATGATAAAATAGGCCCAGATCCTTCCAGAATTCAAGTGTCTTTGTTATACAATGTTATCAGCTTTCCCAGCTACCTTCTGTGAAATACAGGACACCTCCCACTATGTAATGGACACACAGAGCTGGCTTCGTAGTAAGCATTCATGTGTGCTTCCATAGCAAGTGGCTTGCTATGGGGGCACTCGGCAGGAGGGGAGAAGCAAGGGGCGCTGGCAAGAGGACCCGGGAAGATGAGGACGGGGCTGCTCTGTGCAAAACCATTACACAGAGCAGGTAAGTGTGACATGCTTATTATTTAAAGAAAGAAACAATGATTTCTAATCACTTTAATGAGGACTTCATTTAATATAAACAGGATGTAGAATTTATAATATATCGGAAACATATTGTAGAGATTACTCTACTATGTTTTCCCTAACCCCATTAGTCTATTTGTAACCAACATTCCAATAATCAAAGTCAAACATTTAAAAAAAAAGTGGCAGAAAATGAATTTTAAGATTTCCAAGAAAATATTTTTTTATTGAAGCAGTTAGAGAGGCAAATAAAAACAATATCTTGGCACTGACAATGAAGAACTGATTCCACCGACACATTGTAAGCCTACAAATGCGTATTGATTTTTATAATGTCATATGATATAAAACAAAATTTTAAACCTTATTTTTTTTAATCAATTTTTAAATCTAGGGTTGAACGGGTCCTTGAAGGTGGGAATTTGCATAGGACCACCACCATGATGGGTTGCAGATGTAAAGCCTGGATTAAAGACAGTTAGCTGCTAAAGCACTGTGTATCATTAACAATTGCCATTTTTTTTTATAGATAATACACTTTTCACCTTTTTTATCATTCATTTTTGCATCTCAGCTCTGCTGATATCCTGCAGCCTTTTCATTGCCACTTCCTGTCTACATGCACAACAGACCACATTAAGTGACATAATTTTTGGAGACCAAAAGAAGAGATGTTTAGTAATATCCATTGCACTATCCATGAGAAATATGCAAAACTAGCTGCTAAATAAGTTATATACAGTATGCTAATGATGTCCAGTGGAAGAGACATTTTCCACTCTAGCTACACCCCAAAACCTGTAACATCTTACTATACAAATACACCTCAGTAATGGGGCAATACACTTTTCCTGGGTCAGTCATCTAAGAGGGCCACATAAACCACAGATGACAAACTGCTAGCTTACACTGTAAGCATTTATATCTGAAGTGGTACGGCTGTTTCTTTGTGCTGTTGCTGAATTACCCATAACTGCAGATTTTCTCTGACATGTGGTGCTATGGAGATGCATTAAAGCTCAGTAACTCTGTGAGTGCCAGAGACATGTTTGCAGAGCTCGCATTAAAGAAAGCAGAGTATATAACAGGATTGCTAACAATGTGTTACTTCTACTGACAATGAGTGCAACTTCCCAGTAGATGCAAATATTCTATAATCAGCTTGGAGACTATACAGTTGTGCCCAAACGTTTGCATACCCTTGGAGAATTGTATACAGTATGTACAATTTTAAAAAAACATGAGTGAGCAGGCAAAACATATTGCTTATGGGATTCATATTCAACTGTAGGTCATAACAGAATGGCACAATCATAAAACAAAACATGGCATCAAGTAAACAAATCAAATGATCGTTCTAAAATCTGCATACCCTCAGTTCTTAACACTCTGTATTATCCTCTTTAGCATCAATGACAACATGCAGTCCTTTGTAATAGTTGTCTATGAGGCCCCAAATTCTTGCAGGTGGTATAGCTGCCCATTCATCTTGGCAAAATGCTTCCAGGTCATGCAAAGTCTTGCATGAACCACACGTTTGAGATCTCCAAGAGTGGCTCAATGATATTAAGGTCAGGAGACTGTGATGGCCACTCCAGAACCTTCACCTTTTTCTGCTGTGACCACTGGAGGGTCAACTTCGCCTTGTGCTTAGGTTTATTGTCATGCTGGAAAGTCCAAGAGCATTCCATGCGCAAATTGTCTGCCACTATTTTCTGATAACATTTGGCATTCATCTTGCCATCAATTTCACAAGATTCACCGTGCCTTTAGACTCACTCACACACCCACGAGCCACCACCATGCTTCACAGTGGGGATAATATTCTATAGCTATAGACCTTGTTGACCCCTCTCCAAACATAAAGCTTGTGTTGGGCATATTATACCAAGGCTTTTTTGTGGCATTGACACAGTAAAAGTTTCTTTCTGGCAACTCGACCATGCAACTCATTTTTGTTCAAGTATCATCATACCTATTAGTCCTTCATTGCACAATATATGAAATTTAGATAGATTATGGTAAGTGTTTGGCTGTCTATGGAACAGGACACATGCAGGCACGTTCATTGCTGGTAACATATCCGTCACTGTCATTGGCAGGAATATTCGCAGCAACACAGATCAAACACTTCAGATGTGCACACAATACTGATAAATGTATTGTACAGATGTGCACTGTGTGATGCCTGAAAAGAGAATTGAACTCTTGCCAGTTACACACACAGCCAAAAAAGATGCCACCTAACTAAATGTCCTGCCTCAGTTGATGTCTAGCATTGGTATAACAATCTGCCACTTTGCATGTGACTGTTGCCAAGAAAAGAAAGAACCTCCAGTGATCAGAGGTTTCATACAGAAGGTTTTCCTTGAAACAGAGTACGTTTCAACAATATTTTGTGGGGAAAATGAATGAAACAAAGAGTGATTATTACGTGGTGTCTTACTATCTCTCTTTCTCTTTATTGCTTTCTAGATAACGTTATGGATTTAGGACTGGCTAATGACAAAACCTCCCAGGATCTCTCATATACAGGTACATTCCAGCCAGGTAATAAAACTGTCACCTACCTGGGCAAATTCTCCTTTGACTCTCCCTCCAACTGGTGCCAAGAAAATATAATAAGCTTGATGAGCGCTGGCATCCTTGGTGTGCCAACATCCCAAGCCAACGGTGCAGGTGGGGGAGGAAGTAGTGGAGGGAATGGAGGCATCATGGGTCAAACGCAAAGTGATGTGGAGTCAATGTTCCACAATCTTCCACCTTATTCTAGTTGTGGGGACCTGTACCATGATCAGGTGGGCTTTCAAGGAGGCAGTATGACCCCCTACTCCTCCCAAGAGTACTCGTCTACCAAACAGAGCTTAGACTCTACTGTTTTTCCTATGATACCAGACTACAACTTGTTTCACCACAACACTGAGATACCCACAGTAGATCAAAAGCCTTTCCAAAACATGGAGGCCATGCGGGTTAATCCACCACCCATAACTCCACTGGAAACCATCAAAGCATTCAAAGAGAAGCAAGTCTTGCCCAGCTTTGGGGGCATGAGTCATCAACCCCCACTTACCCTTAAACCAATCCGCCCAAGGAAATATCCTAACCGTCCTAGCAAGACGCCACTCCATGAGAGGCCCCATGCTTGTCCAGCTGAGGGCTGTGATAGGCGCTTTTCACGCTCAGACGAGCTGACTCGCCACCTGCGTATTCACACTGGACACAAACCCTTTCAATGCCGTATATGCATGAGGAGCTTTAGCCGATCTGACCACTTAACTACCCACATCCGTACTCACACAGGAGAGAAGCCCTTCGCTTGTGACTTCTGTGGACGCAAGTTTGCACGCAGCGATGAGAGAGAAAAACGGCATGCCAAGATACACCTTAAACAGAAGGACAAGAAAGGGGTTGAAAAAGCAGGCTGCTCACCGTCAGTTTCTGGGGCACCAGCTGTTACCACATGTGCCTGAGTTTTTATCTGAATGGACTTTATTCAAGGGGCTGGAGGAGAATGCATTATGTACTGTACCTACAATCTTTTGAAATGTTTCTCTACAGACCCTTTGTTCTGGTTATTACTCAACTAAAGGAGACCTGCAATGTATGTCTCCCCTAACAGATATACTTCTCATGATCTGCAGAGCACAACGCAACTTTCTAGCTAAGCTTCACACTTGGCGCCACTGCTCCTTCTTCAGGTTCCATTTTGAAGCATTAACACACTCTTGCTAAAGACCTCCAGCTACCCTTGACATTCTAGGTATCTTATTCTTGGAAACATTTCTTTAAAGCTGGCCACATAAGCTATGATCTGAATGCTCAATAAATTAAATATCAAAAAAAAAAACAAATACAGTTTTAAATGCGAACACACACAAATTTAATTTAATTTAATCTAAGATAAGAAAAGTTTGAATGCTTTGTGTAGGAAGATTGGAAGATAACTATGACAGTTAAGAACAAGCATATGTGGCCAGCTTTACAGTATGGGTTTACCTGCAGATCATCTCTTTGCTTGCCTACATCTAAACCACATGACTTGTACAGCCTCAATCTACATACCTAATTGTAATGTATGTGCTAGAATGCTGAGAATTTGGGGACACACGGGTCTCAGGGTACTTGGATTTGGTAAAGGCAAATCCTTAAAGTTTGAGGCAGGGTCACAATTTGCTGCTATAGCAAGATATTCTTCTGCTGCTATGTCCAAATGTTAAACCCTCATGTGCCTGCTGTCTATGTTCTGCCCCTTTCCTCCTCCTGCGGTCATCATCTTCATAGTATCACATCTATCTTCGCACATTCATTTCTTTGTGAGGTTTTTTCTTATCATTCTCTTGCTTTTCCATCCCCCTCCTCTCAGTCTTTTTCCCTCCCGTACATGCTCCCCCCTGATTTCTTTTCAGCGTCTGTCACACAGTTTTATTAGGGAAAAAAAACAACTACAGCTTGAGTCAGTGTGTGTGTGAAAATGTGTGCGCATGATTACATACGGCCAGGTTTCATTGTCCTAAGCTCAGACTGATCGCAATGAAAGAATATCAGGTCTATATAGATTTTTTTTTCCTTTCTTTAAACCAAAGAACTAGCCAATCTTGCTGCAACTGGGTTGGGATTTATGGAAACATACTCAGCCCATAAGTGTGAAGTTTAATTGAGGGTCCAATCAAAGATTTGACTTGAATTCCCAGGACACAGCACTCTGAGCCAACTTTCTCAGAGCATGTGTTCCAGTCCTATTTTTTTCTTCCCTTATGTCAGTCTATTTTTTGCATTCTGATTTCTCTTCTTAAGTAAGTAAGGGACATTTAAAGCAATTTTAACGTTTCACACCCAAGCATTTGCAAACAAGGCCACAGAGACACAGGCACTTTTGTTTGGATGGGCTCCAAATACAATATTATGTGAATCAAAAAAAAAAAAAGAAGAAAAAAAGACATGCTATGTTCTGAAATCCTTAAATACAGCAAGAAAATTGAAGTAAATCTGAGAATTACCCAACACTACTATTGAAAAAATGTGCAGGAAAAGTTCATTCACAACACAAAGGTTTAGTTACACCCTTAAACAGCAGCTCCACCTAACTTTTCTAGCTTATCCTGACTACTATAAAAATTAGTTCACATGTTGGTTTTCCATGTGATCCTGGTTCCCCTAAGCTATAGCCATGTGGAAGGGGCTGGCTAGACAAACTTTATTGCTAACAAATCACTTTAATAGGTCTAAACCTTTTCTAATATATATAAGAAACCAATGCATCATTCAATACCCCCCAAGAATTGAAATATCAGAGAGTTGATTTTAAGGGGTTCATATAGTGGACCTCTTTAGACCCAATCTTTATACAGAAATCAGTGTCTGTCATCTGATTGGGCTGAGAATGTTTTCTTTTGCCTATGAACACTTTACAAATCTTGGAGACATTGATGGAAAATTTATCACCTAAAAAGTCACCTGGCAAAGCATACAAACATGTCTATGGAAAGACCTAACTGTGAAAATCAGTGTTATAATGACCACATTCAATTAAACAAAACGTGCTCACAACAGACAACTGAAGCTGAAGTCCAGAGATGATATATTTTGCATACTTATATTGGGCCAACTTGGCATTTGTTATGCATATGTGATATCCAATCAGCTTCTGTAGAAGCTGTAAATCCCCATACAGTCTAGGCTACTACAGTGAGAGCTGCAAACTTCAAGGTGCTGTGCTGAGTGGTTACCCTTCTGATAGTAACCACAGGGGGTCACTCACTTCTCATAGCTACTGTTCAGAGAACGCCTTGGATTTTTCTCATTGAATTCAAAGTGTTCTCTGATTGGACTAGGTGGAGAGGAGGGGTGGGGCTGAGCAAGCAACCCTCTGTGGTTACTGTGCAGAAGAGCAGCACTCAGCATGGCACCCAGAAGACTGCTGCTATTACTGGAGTAGCTCAGGCTACTACAGTGATTTACAGTTCAACAACAAAGGACATTCAGTTATCATATTTGCACAACAAGCTGGCACAATGTAAGTATTAAAAAATCATCCCTGGAGTTCAGCATTAATAAACATTTAGTATTGAAGTGGTAGAATGGGATTTTTGTACTCATAAATAATTTCTTTAGAGACAGTTGGGGTGTATTGCAGCTTACAGGAGGATTTGGATACTGGCACAAAAGCAGTGACAGGTCTAATATAACCCTTCCCACTCCCAGCATGCCTCGGAATGTAGAGAAGCAGTAATAGGGGTAAGATCACAAAAGTTGGGGGGGGGGGGGAGTGGGACCTATGTCCCTCAGTAAACTCCAAAAAAACAGATTTTACAGTAAGTACAAATATACTATTTTCTTTTCTTGTTCATTAAGGGACAGAGAATTCAGAGAGAATATGGATGTCTAAAAGCATTTCAACTAAGGGACAGGCAACAGTAACACTAAAAGGCCCACATAACAAAAGAACTGAGGGCAGCCTCCAGCTTAAAGATCTCTCTTAATGTGATAATAAAGCATGGGATTATTTAACCTGAAATGAAAAAAGATGTTATATCTACCTGTTCTGTGTAAGGTTATTCCACAAAGTGGCCCTTACCTTCTCTTCCGGGTTTCCCCGCCGGCACTGTCTGCTCCTCCTCTCCTGAGCGTGACCCCAGAGCAAGCCAGGTGTTATGGTGGCACACACATGCCGGCAGGCTTCAAAGCTGGGCTGTGTGCCTCCATAGACACACAGCAGCCCTGCACAAAACATGCCCTTGCCCCCTCCTCACTGGATTTGATTGGCAATCAATGGCACTGCTATCAGTCTGTCCTCTGAGAGCTGGAAGAAAGACCAACGATGCTACAGAAGGGTACAGCGCTTGATCAAGAGATGACCAAATTAAGTATTTGGGGGGGGGGGACAAACAGAAAAATGAAGTTTTTTTTTTTTACATTAATGCATTTAATGCATTAAATTAAAAACCCTTTTGACTTAGAACAACTGCCTAAAACTTTAGAACTCTGCCTGAAGCTGGACATCCACACTGAAGAGAAACAGCTGCTTTTTGCCAAAAAGCCCCAAAAACACTGACAAATCTTGTAGCAAGAGCTTTAACAGGATTCTTAAGACTTTAAAGTGTCACTAAACCCACATCATAAAACTATCAATAAATGCTGTATTTCATGCTGTTCATACTCACTCAGTCACTATGAGATTTGTTTTCTGTGTTCTGCAAAAACCTGGTTGATCCTTCTGCTCTCTATTGCCTCCTTCCGTTCATGACCCCAGTTAACTAGGGATTTTGCAGCTGTAGTGGCAACTCTGCACATGCTCAGTTTTCAGTGAAGTTCTATGCTGAGCATTTCCTCCCTATCACATCTGAGCAGCCCATGTGACTATAGAGTCACACATGTGGGCGTATACACAGTGAAAAATTACAGCCCACTCCCTATCTCCTCCTCCATGCCCACTAACCAGCTAAACACAATGAGGGGCGGGGTATTACAGATAAAATAAGCAGAAGGTGATACCTCCATTAATCTAAGGCACAGGCTGGAGGGGTGTGGCACAGCCTGTGACTGACAGAAATCTGTCCACACCATGTTATTTTCACAAAACAATAAAGATTTGAATTCAAATATACTGTATATTTGTATGCCAATTTCAAATAGTTTATTGATATTATTTATTTTCACTTTGTATTTCAAAGGCTGTTTTTTTTTTATTTTGAACATGTGACCGGCAGCAGAGGACTAGCAGCTCCTCCTGCTTATGTTTCCCTGCAGACAGGCTGGGAAAGATCTGAGTCATGTGACAGCTGTAGGAATTTTGTTTTTAAATTAAAATAGTTACAGTGCCATCATCCACATACAGAAATAGAAGGGAAATTGTAAATTAAGCAGTGTGTGTTTAATATCACTTTAAGCTTGGATGAAGAGCTGGCTGCCTTTTACAGATGACAAAAGGAAAGCCAGTCTTTCCAAATAAAGCAGTGGCTGGTAGGTTAACCAGTAGACCACAAACTACATTCAGACAGTGAGAAGAAATTTCTTTCTGATGTACAGAGCAGGACAGAGTGTCAGAATAACAGTGTCCTGATTAATACGAACTGCCAAAACCTTAGGAATTAAGGAAACTCTGGGTGTTAACACCACCTTATCTTAGTGTAAGACCAGAAAGGGTTCTTTACAAGATGAACCTGCCAGCTCAGACATGTGCCTCGTAAAGCTTATGACGATAAGGAAGCCACCTTGTGAATAAGGATGGAAAAAGGATAAAATGGCTAGTAAATGGTTAGTAAAACAGTTCTCAATAGAGAAAAGGCATCCATTCTCCTAGGACACTAGCAAAATCCGAGGCATGCTGGAGATGGGGTGCGGGGTTTTCTCCTCTAGGCTCCAGTAAAACCCGGTTGTCTCAGAATCCTGTGTACCTTAATGAACAAGAAAGAAATCAGATTTACAATAAATGTGCATCGGTAAGAGAACAAATGATCCCAAAGATTAA